TATAATGAGATAGTAATTCAATATAATGAGATAGTAACTCAATATAATGGTTTCGTAAAGATAAATGTAAAAAAAAAAACAAAAAAAAAAAAACAGACTTATAACTCCGCCTCTTCCGGATTATTAACCAATAGAATTGCCGTTTCCTGTCTTACTTCCTTATGCGCCCTCAAAGCAGTTATGTGCATAGATATCTATGGTTATGTGGTCCACACTCCTTACCAGTTGGTGGCGGTAATGCTCACCTAACGTTTTGCCAACCGCCATAGAAATTTCAACCACAAGAAGAAGAAGAAAGCATGGCAGTAGAAATCAACAGTAAAACTTGCAGTTCTTTACCATATTAGTAGAATATACAATTGACCAGTAGCCTAGCATTAGGCAGTAACTCACCGTTTTGAGTAAGATAATATAGGACATTAATTATTAAGCATCCAGACGACAACTACTCTTGGTAGGTGAGTTAAGTCTGACAAAATGTGTTTTCAAAACAGCTACCGTATGTAGTTTTTAAGGTAAAGCTGGGACCTTTATCTGGTGAAAGAAGATTATATATATCGTGAACAATATTTAAAAGCTTTGCTTAAACGGATAACTACGTTACCTTTCTCGTTAGCATCCTATTAGCCTGTCTTCATGGCACACCAGTCAACCCTGGTAAAAATAAGAATAGAATAAATATTGCACCAGCACAGTTATAATTATAGTACTTATAGGACAATTATAGTTCTAAACAAGTTACATTTCGCATTTAGTTATGTAATATTTAGTTTGGTCTAAAGAAATTTACCCATCCATTTCATTGATAAACAATTTTTTTTGGCTATGCTTGCAGTCACGAAATACTATTACCAGAAATAATTGCTTAGAAAAACTGAACTGAAACCATAATGATCTTATTAATTAATCAAAGTTGCACTTAATTTGAGATGATATTAACATACCGTTAATTAACATACCGTTACGTTGTTCTTCACTATGAATGTGTTTCTACTGGATAATTAGAATCGGAGGCTTTCAATCTGCATGAATCCTGGTCTGATCAGAAGTCCCTCTAATTCTGTTAAATAACAGCTGAGAACAAGGAAGAAATCCTAAGCGGAGAAGATAAGCCATCGTTTTTTGGAGGATGTTGCCACTTAATATAAAATGTTTCATGTAATCACAGCTAATTTGTATTTTTCTTACTTAAAAGTAATCCTTTTCTTAAAGGTATTTTTAATTTTTTAGCATCTTACTACTTACAATGTTGTGTTATTCTATTATTGTGTGTGCATATATATATATATATAAATGATTTTACTATAATACTAGATATTGTAATAAAATGGTAAATAAATATAACCCTATTTCCAAACAGAACAATGTTTATGAATGAATGTGTCCTGCAGACAATAATGGTCAGATCCATCTAACAGATTCACCGTTGGATAAGTCTGGTTGTTTGTTAGAAATGTGTCTAAAGGTTGTTGACTGAATTAGTGGAGGAAGCATTAAAAAAAGCATATTTTGTGTCAGCATTGCATGCAGGTTTTTGGTCAGAAATGTTTTTATAATCAATACAAGGTTGAAAAAGTATAAATAAAAGATACGATTATAATGGAACAAATACAAAAGCAGCGAGACAGCCTTAAAAGAATGCAAAATAGTGATTGTTCTTCATGGTACAAAACTGCATTTGGAAAGGGGATCTTATCCAATCAGTTATTCAGGATTTTTAAATTCTAAGCCTTTTTACCGTATCTAGGGGTTATTATCACATAGTTTTCCAGTTTTCTGGGTTGGGGAATAGTTTTTGTTTGACGTTTGAGTTGTTTTGTTCACCATGAAATCTGTGTTGACAAAAAAGCCTTCTAAAGATGTCTCTGTTCATACAGGAACCCATGTTACATACTGGAATCTCCTTGCAGAACTGATCATGGAATCCTTAGATGAACATTTTAACCTGGAGGATGAAAGCGAGTCCTCAGATGACAGCTCTAGAAATAGACACAAATCTAAGCTCCCACTGGCCAGCCCTCTGTGTGCAGGTAAAGCACCAGCTGTTAGGGAGTAGCAGGAGCAGTTCTCTTTTAACCAGGAGGATAATGCATTTTTTTATTTGTTTTCTTACCTTTAGCCTTAGTGAACAAATTGTGTTTAATCCTTAAAGGTATAGTGAAGGATGTTCCTTTTCCAGGTGGATCATCAAAATAAGTAGTCCTCCTAATTGTTAATCATTCTGATGATATGTTTACGTAAGGCCGTCCTAGATACCCCATTTTCACTTACTGGTGGTGAGTCTGACATAGTGGAAAAATTGCAAATCTTCTTTTGGAAACTAAGCTTGTATAAACGATGCACACAGCAACTTTTAGTTGTGTGTGCACAAGGTCAAATGGGCTTGTGCATGCTCTCACATGCGTTTAGTAGATGTTCCCTCTCGGGAATGGGTATAGGGTTGTGCCTGCGTGTCTATTTTTAAGTGGAGATTGCGGGTCTTTTAAAAAATTCACAAAAATCCTCCACTATACCTTTAAGGAATGCTTTCATTGATGTAAAATAAGTGTAACGTAGCAAAACCTTTTTATGCTTTTTATAACAGTATTTTTCCAGCGGGCAATAGGGGAGATAAAGATAATTTCTTATGCTGTAAAACTTGAACTTTTCATTCATTTCATTTGACTGTATTTGTTGAAATTCTCAGAGACCAAGTTTGAAAGCGGCTTTCAGAAGACAGGCAGAATTTGTCTTGAGCATATCCGAGAAGCGATGCTGCATCATAAATGGCAGGAGGCTGCAGAGTACATGGCCAGTTACACCCAGATGTTAGAGGACAGAAAACGCCGTTCAACAAGTAAAGAGGTGATTAAGTTTGTTTTTTACATTTGTTTGGTCACAAAGACATTACTTATCATGTATTAAAGAGATTTTTTTGTTGATCCCTTTCAAACTTTCATTACAGCTTGTTTGGAGACTCAGCATCGAGATACTTCACCACCTTTCCAACTCAACAGTGAAGGACTACAACATCATCTATGAACGGATGAAACACTCAGGAGTGAAAGATTATCTGACAGTGCGTATGCAACACAAGTTGGAGCAGACATTTTTATGCGCTTTTGGTATTCTGATTTTCTTATGTCTTGTCTTAGATTTGCCTGGAACATTCTTTCCACCTGATGCTTCACGGTCAGATTGAGGAAGCGAAGCAGCAGCTGTCCGTCGCTGAGAGCTGGAGATACGGGAAAGAGTCCATTTCTCAGCATCAGCGAGTTAAACTGATTCAGGCATACAGAAGCCTGTTGGATTATATGATCTGGTGTGACAAAAAATACACACTCACCAAAAACAGTAAGGAGACACTCGACTTCACTCCACTGATCGAATATTCACCATTCATTATTCATAAATGTCTCTGACACCTTTCAAGTCTTTGTGTGGTGTTACACTGCCCCCTAAAGGATAAACAGAAATCCTGCAGGTGAATGTGGGACTTAACTTTGAAAAAAGGCTGTAATATAAAGTCTGCCTAAAATTTCTTAAACTCTGTCCTTTTTTAAAGATTCAATTGAATCTGACAACCAAGGAATGCAGACCCTCTTCAGACAAGCCTCTGTCAATTTTAAAGAACTTTTAAGAAACCCTGGAGTCTGGGATCCCTTCGTTCTTAGTTATGTTGAGGTAAGCGCTGATTAAACAGGCTTCTGCAAATTTTTCAAAGTCTCTCAAGGGCAGAATAACGCTGGTGTTTAGAAAGACTGACTTTATCTGCTGGCTAATTTTCTTTTGTTTTGAGTGAAATCTTCCACCTTTTTTTAGTTGTATATCTTGGCTTCCTCCATTAATACCCAAATCCACATAGTTTCACCTCAAATTCACAAAATTCAATGTAGGTTTATGGTGCTTTTATGTGATGGGTACAAAACTATGTATAAGTGAGAAAAGTATGGAAGCGTATAGCATTCACCAAAGAAAAAAGAAAAAAGCTGACAGCTTAATTATGAGATCAGAATCTTGTAATTATGCGATTTTTATCTCGTAATTATGAGAAAAGTTCTCATAATTACGAGATACTGATCTGGTAGTTATCTAATAAGCTGTGGGATTTTTTTTTTTCTTTTTGGTGAATGCAATACGCTTCAATAGAAAAGGACTCAATAATAAAAAAAGAAAATGTTTGTTGGCAAATAGAAATCTCAGCTGCAGATTTTTTTTAAACTAGGGCTGCAACTAATGATTATTTTGCAAATCGATTACATTTTTGATTAACTAGCCAAAGATTCTTTAAAGAAGAGTTTACTAAACTAAACCAGGTGAAACTCAAACTTTTTCACTTGAGGAGCTCTGGATAGAACATATTGACAGATACATTTAAAAAAAAAGTTAAATGCAAGATGTTTATATATATTTTTTGTAATCTTGGTATAATTACTGCTCTGAGTGGGTTGCTCTATCAGCTAAAGGCATATTTTAGAGTCTGTATTCTCCAGTTAACGATTAATCAATTACTAAGTTGATTGATTGAATTTATTGATCTCATAGTGGAGACCTGTACTTGTTACATCAGCTCAAATAGTCAGAAGAATAAATGAACAGAAGAAGAATGTGCCAAAGAAAGAAAGAGGTGCATAGAACATTTACAGTAAATAAGTTGATGATAATTTCAATAATGGATTAATCATGATTAAGCCGATTGTTTCCGCCCTATTTTTAACATATTTCTACCAGCTTTTTCTCTGCACCAGAATGGTGCCATCACCATCCTTCACCATGGGGGTGTTGTGTTCAGGGACCGCGGTTTGCATTTTGCACATTAGCCAAAAACCTCCAACTAGAGGACCCTATTCTAAACATTTGCTCTGTCCTCTACATCACTAACTGTTTATAGACTACAGTCTGTAGATCTCTTCAGCCCTTAACATGCACTTATTGGGTGCTTCTCAGACGAATGTTCTGTGAGATGTCCAATGTTGTGTTTGGTCTGTCCCTTAATCTTCAGAATGCGGATTTCTTCACATATGTTTACAATTTTCTCTGGCCAGGTTCCTTGGGCCCACTAAATTGAGAATCTCCACAGCATGGTGCTGCTCTCACCCACTATCTCCTTTATTTGTATACATTTCAGTGAAAGCAAGAGATTCTTTCCTGAAAACATCTTCACTATTGCAGATTTAGTAGTGGTCCTTTAATTAGCAGGCTTTCCTTTTGGTTACAAGTATTTTAACATTTCTTTTTTAATTTAAAATAAATCCTAGTTTATATTCAGTTTGGTTTAACAGTCGTTTTTGTATGTTTACCATCATCCCTGCAGTAGCCCCACAGCATGATGCTTCCGCCACTTTTTGTCTCTGTTTGGACCCTGTGTTCCATGCTGTGGAGGGTTGATGTTTTACATTTTTTTTTTCAGATGTTTGCATATCTTGTGGGAAATGCTCCAAAAAGACCAAATTTGCCATTTTGACTGGTTCCAAAACATTTACCTTTTATCTCTACAGTTCTTCCATTAGAGTATTAGGTTTTTTACATGTTTTATTTTATTTTATTTTTTTACATTTAAAGCTTACCCTGAATTTAACTTCTCCCCTACTTCCTGGTCTTTCTGCTGCATTCCTTCATCTTCATGTTGCTTTTTGTTTTCAAACAGACCTCCAAGTCTTTCACAGAACAGCTGGATTTATATTGAGAATAAATTAAACCCTGATCAACTCTGTGCTACTATGCTGCAAAAAAGATCTAAAAATAAGTCAAAATGTCTTAAATTAAGTGTATTTATCCTCAGTTTGAGAAGGTGAATTAGATGATTTGCCTATGGAATGATGATTTTTACTGTTAAAATAAGGTAATTAGATAATATACATTTGAAATAAGACAATGAAATAGTTTTATTTTAAATGTAAATTATCTTGTTCCATTGGCAAAGTGTCTCACTTATCTCCTCAATTCAAGAAAAAATTCACTTATTTTAAGAAAAATTGACTAGATTTCCATTTTTTTCAGTGTAATTAGCCGGTTTCTGTTGTTTGCAATTGATTTATTGAAAGGATCTCAGCGTAGATAGGCATGATTACATATGCAAACTAGAGATTTTAAGGTTCTAACTTTTGTTGAAAATAAGGTGTTTTGATTTTAACTAGTCAGTGGTCACACATTGTATTTCTCGTAATTATTTTTTTTCACCATTGCCGGTTAATTTCTAAGCTGAAAGGCTTGAACTCTGAGAGATTTCTGTAGTAACAGAGATCTGCAAATCTGATATTGTTTCTATTTTATCTCTTGAAATGAGATTTATATTTTTCTTTAAATTTGTTCAACGAGTTTGTTTGTTTACAAATATTTTTAAAGGTATTCTTCCTTCTGTGCTCAATGGTAATCGGTTCAAAGAAACAGTGTCTTTTCTTGACAGATGCTGGAGTTTTATGAGGATTACGAGGAGGCTCTTAATGTCTTGAACGACTACGCGTACGACAACAGCTTTCCCCCAAATCCCAATGCACACGTCTATATTTACCAGTTCCTCAAGCGACACAACGCTTCTGAGAAGAAACTGGTGAAAGTGTTAAAGGTAAAAAAGATAGCTTAAGAATGATATTCCAAGAATTAAAACTTCTAATAGTTTTTCTTTTTTTTTTATTGTTTTGTTATAGAACCTCCATCTATTAGTGCCAAGCCATGAGCTGATGTTGGAGTACAGCTTTCTCTTGCTTCAATCAGGTAAAAGTAGATTCATTTATCAATCAAAGGGTTTTTGATAAATTTGGAGTAAAAATACAAAATCACTGAGATATTCCTCTTATTGTTGCCACCTTATTAATGACTTTGCCTCTTCTGGGAATTTAGCTACTTAAATATACTTTCATAGGATTTACTCTTTTTGTTTTAAAGAGAGAACCAGTGATTTTCGTAAAGCTTTCGCCGTCCTCCTCGACATGCTCGACTTCGCCTGCTGGAGGAGCAACCTGGACGTGTGGAAGTCTTTACAGGACGCCATTCACCAACTGCTTTCACAGTATGTAAACATCCTTGGGTATCAATTAGATTTGAATCAAAGTCTCTTTATACTGAGTCTTGCTTTCCTCACATTAAATGACAACAGGAATGAAGGGCAGATGATCATTCAAGACTATATGGCTTTAAGAAAAGACTGGTGGCCCAAGTTGCATTTCACAAGGTCTCATGCAAAGAAAGACTCGGAGGAGAACGCCAAACTTTTGGAGGTCAAGGCATCGCTGGCAGAAATACTTTGTCCAGGTTAGTGTGTGCGTCGTTTCCAACAGTCTCTGGTTGTTGGGGTTTTTCATAACAAAAAAGGTGGAGCTAAAATGTGGACGGTATATGGTCTGGAATTTGCCTTTATTTCTTGCTCACTCAAAGAATGGGGGGGGAAAAAAAAAAATTTTTTTTTTATTACTTTTTCACTATTACAGCTTATTAATTTTAGAAGTCATTTTACACATTGGACCTATTAGAACTGAGTGGATGCGCTCTCATTCAAACAGCTATAAGCTTTTTTCTAGTCTTTCGAAAGTTTCAAGTGCAGCTTTAACCAGATTAGTTCTTAAACTGGCTCTAAAAGGCCAATCAAAGATCTAATGCTGCTATTTTTATCTTATTTAAATCTAAAAGTTTGTCATCATTATGTCTTGACCCCACGTAGAGTCAGATTCATCTGCTTTTTAAGCAGATTTAAAAGTTAATACTTTAAAGTCAAACGTCCAGAGTTTATTAAAAGAAATGATACATTTAAAAATATTCAGTGGACAAGTAAGGAATAATATAAGGAGAACGTGTTGGAACCATGTGACTGCGTTTCATGTATTCAAGGTCTTCCTTTTATTTTTTTTGTTTCTCTTTCTGTAGGTCGAGCCCTGAGGTACACCGCTGAGCCATTGCCGACATGAGTGGGATTGTTGGCATGTAATGGAAAACCCCAAGTTCAACTTTCCTTTTCTTTTTATAATGTTTCTTTTTAGAGCAAGACCTCTTACTTCTATCACCACTGAATTTTAAGGTCAAGATTAAGAAATGTCACGTTTACCCTATAATGTCCTAAACAGTTCTCTTGTTTTCTATTAATTTTGCCCTGAACTCTTTATTTTGCAATAAATAAAAAGAACCACAGTGTGGCGCCATTTTTCTCCTTTTCCTGTAGTGGGATTTTAAAGTCTTATTTAAGCACTCAGAAACAGAAGTTTTCTCTCTAGCATATTCACCATTTTTCAACATTTAATGAGGACACACACACATCACTATGGTTTAATGCATCTGATGAACTAATTTTTAATATATTTTTAATATATTATCAGCTTACTTTAAAAGACTCTAAAAACAATTTCTGTACTGCTGTGGGGAAAAACATTTAATTTCATATATTTGCTTCTTAAAAGAGATGACGTATTGAATGCTTTAAGATGGTTCTGGCCTTCAGAGTTCCTTCTATTCACACATAACCATGAATTGAAGTTTTTTTTAGCACTATACTAGTATTATTGTTAATAATAATAAAATGACATGATTTAAATGATTTGATATTGGTCAGCCACAATGTAAGTGAAGCAGTAGCAGCTCAGTCAGCCATGTTGTGTTGATCTGCAGTTATTACATAATCTAAAGCCTAAAGCTTTGCCTGATAACAGGAGCAGCTGGAGGAGGCATCTGGGAATAGGCGACACATGTTTAATCACTCACATCTTGGCGATCACAGAGGATTCACTTATCAGGTCGGTGTTTTAAACTCTTCAGTTCAAATTGTAATGGATTTTTAGTATTTTCTTCATATCCTAACCCAGTACCTGCAAAAGTGGGGGTTACGCACGTAATTATGCGGGTTTCATGGTAGAAATTAGTTGAATAAATTACCCATTTTAAGCAGCATTTAGAATGGGGAATATGAATGGTAGTGTTATATTTGGTTACTCGTTAGAATAAACAGTTAAAATAAGACAATTTACACCCCCCTTTCAAACCACCTGTCGTTTTTGGCCAATGTATGTCCACATTTTGGACAAAGAAGACAGGTGGTTTGAAAGGGATGTGAAGGAAGCCATTTACGTTTAGAGAGAAAAACAACGCAGTGATGGAGTTGATTCCTTCCTGCTTTCATCACAACCCCCATCACTATGCAGGGGACCAAAACATCTCACTTGGTCAGCTAGGCCAACAATCACCCCAACAAATCCCTTTTCAAAGGCATAGGCCAGTATCCGGTATTGTAGGCCAACGACGACCTCAACGACCCCCCATTACCAAGGGTGTTCCTGCTCTTTTTGGTTTAATTTGCATCTTTTCTAAGTCATAAAAAGGCTTTGTAGGGCTACTCTCTAAAGCTTGGAACTCAAAGCTAACCCAGACATTTTCAATTGAAAACATTTCCTGGATGGGAAGTGAAACATCTTCAAACTTGAAAAATAACTTTAACTTTTTTGGAATTTAAATGTGTCTCTTTTTGATTTATTTAAAGGAGATTTGAGTAATTTATTAGTTGGGAACCATGTATTCGTGTTTTGTTTTCACTCAGACCTTAACAGCTGGACAAACTGCCTGACTTCAGAGGCTGATGTAGCCCCATGCCGCTTTAGGTCACTCAGTGTTAAACACAATAGAAAGTGTCCCCAATGACCTGTTTTGCTTCCTGAAGCAGCTGTGTGTCTGGTGCGGGTTGTTTTGGTTCCTAAAAACTGCTAATAACGTGTACAGATTTGTACATAACACAAATGTAATTGTATTTTTCAATACATACTGTGGCATAAGATAATAGCATTAAGGGTGGTGTGTGAGGGTTGGGACGTTGGATCAAGTGTAGCTTTAATTGTGCTACTTTGTAAATTAAATGGAAAAAGTGTCATTTAAACATCCAACATAATTAGTGTAGCTAAACTGTTGGATCAAATGAATGTGAAAGAAAGTAGCCTGCAGAATACTTGCTTTTGAGAAAAATAATTTTTTTTTTTACTATATAATTGTTAAAATGTTGTTTATAAAGAGCTTAAAAAGTACAAGACATGTCTGAGTGCTGAGTGTCACTCAAGTCTGAGTGACAGACATGGTGGGGAAATAAACAAACAGAATATTTGGAAGCCTTAAAGAGAGCACTCAGTATGGGAGATTTGAAGAGATTTAATGTGAGTTAATTATAGGTTTGGATGAGTTCTTAGATAAAATCTTGAAGAGTGAAAAACGCTTTAGCTCAAAACAAGAGGTTTTGAACAAAAGGTCCTTCGTTTAAATCTGCAGCTACAAAGTTGTTTCAGGACTAATCTCTCCTTTGTCCACTAAATCCTACAAAGCAATGACACAAAGATGGAATAAATTAGATACATCACAATAAATATAACATAGGATACACTGCAAAACTCCTGAAACAGACTCACATGGTGAAACAGTAGCAGCATCATTCTTTCCACGTATTATAGGAGCTGTTAGCCATTCAGCCTTTTCCTTAATTCCATGTCATTCCTTTGATATTGTTTTATTATCATTTTAATTTTCTACCACTTGTCTTTTAAATAAAATCCTGTGCTGTAAATGGTCAGGTCGTGTGGCCCCCATCAGGCATTTGCTCACATTTTCAGAATGAATAATAGAAATAGCATTTCAGGACAAGATTAAAAGGCTCCAACCTCTAACATGGCATTGAAGCAAACTAGCTGTATTTTATTTGTTGGGGACCTTCGAGCCTAAGTTTTATGGAAAGTTTTGTCCTGAGCAAGTCCAAACATTTATAAAAAAAAAAAAAAACAGGCTGTAATGATTTCTTCTTCCCATTGGTGACCCAGTAAACAATTACAGGAAAATACCTTTTGCTTTTTCTTTTTTTAATTGCACCCTGGAGCAGAGAGGAGGATTACTGAAGGGTCTTTCAACATTGTTACAGCTGAAGTCTGTTATTCTCATTCGCTGTCTTATCATGATAAACATCATTTGAAATATATTCAGCTCTGTAAAGTGTATTTACTCATTTGAAGACTTTACTGGTTTTTCATACACCTATATGTTTCAGATCATCATCATCATCATCATCATCATCATCATCAAAAAAAAAAAAATCAGACAAAGATAATATTAATAAATGGATACATTCCATGTTTTATATTTCCGGTCTTATACGTTTCATAGGAGATGGTTGCATGTAATCCTTTGCGTGACAACACACATAGGCACAGCCCACCTCACAGAGTTGAGGTGGCATGGGGTCAATAACATATAGTCAGTAACACATAGAAATTTACACATCTTGAAATGTTTTGGGTTTTACAATAGAAAGCTTAAGTAGTTTACTACATTTGTTTAGCTTGCTTTTTGCAGTTCTTTTCCAGATGGATGTGGTCCCAAAATGACAAGCATCATTCCTGTGCATTTCCAGAAAAGTAACAGAGGGTTTTGGAGTTTCTTTCTTACACTGTTAACAGTGTTCCCACTGTTAAACCAGCAAAAGGTGAAGGGATAGGAACTAGGAACTAGGAACAGGAGCTAGGAGTTACAATTTGCACTATTTGGTGGAGCAGCTGGTGGACTGGTGTGAAGATAACAGCCTGATCCTGAACGTGGAAAAGACAAAGGAGATCATCTTGGACTTCAGGAAGAATTGGCCTGACCGCGCTCCACTGGTCATCAACAGCTCAGCAGTAGAGGTGGTCAGGTCAGCAGCACCAAATTCCTGGGGATGCACATCATAGAAAACACCACCTCACTGATCAAACTAGCAAAAAAGCGCATGTACTTCTTGCGAAGGATGAGGAGAGCCCACCTGCCCCCACCCATCCTCACCACCTTCTACAGAAGCAGCATAGAGAGCGTTCTGACCAGCTGTCTCACTGTGTGGTATGGAGGCTGCAGTGCCTCAGACTGGAAGAAGGTAAGGAGAGTGGTGAGAACAGCAGCGAGGATCATCGAGCTCCTCTTCCCTCCATAAAAGATGTTTCATCCCATCGCTGCGTGTCCCGTGCCCGTAACATCATCAATGACCCCTTACACCCCCACCATGGACTGTTCTCCCTGCTGCCCTCTAGGAAGAGAATTCAAAGCATCCGATGCAGGTCCAGCAGATTCCATAATAGTTTCTTCCCCACTGCCATTAGACTGCTGAATGTTATGTAAAATAGGGTATTTTATCATATTCATTATATTTTATTATTTAAAAAAAATTTAATGTTAAGACTAAATATACAGTCATATGTTTATATTACTGTCTTTGTGTATTTTATTTTTACTGTTTTTTCAAGGCTGCACTTTAAAAAAATTAAATAGTCTAGAAAGCTGTTCTTAACGCAATTTCTTTTTGTTTACACTTGTGTATACAAAATGACAAAATAAATCTGTCTAAGTCTATTTGGAAATAGCCAGTGAACTTCAGGAGGTCTCTATGCTGAATAAGCAGTTAGTCATGTTTCTTTCCAACAGAAATGCGAACTTTGAGCAAAATTAAAAGTAAAAAAAAAAAAAGGAAAGGCAAAATTTGCCATGTTTCCATTTGGTAATGCAAATAAGCATAATGTTATCATATATCGTTATGCATGTTTGTAATAAAAATTAACGGAGGAAAGTTTTAATGAATGTGTTTCTAGCTGACAAGTTGTTCTTATGTCAACATGTCAACTAGTAATGGTGTAGTTGCTTTCAGACATGTCTACGCACATAATAGGAACACCCAGGGAGATGCCAACAGCGGAAACAGCTGATCAGTCTAAAGTTTGAAAAAATGGTTCCATCTTCCGTTTTGCCCATTAACTCTTTTTCCTTTTAGCTTAAAACTTTTGTAAAGTGTTCCCATCAAGCTTCTCTGATATGTGCATTAGAAAAAGCTGATGGAAACTTACCTACTAGTAGGAAACACCCTGCTTCCCTTCCATACTTCTTTTCTTACTGCCTGCACTTTTCAGACACAACTTATCATGGTGATACCTTTACACACTTTTGTTTTGGCTTAGGCATCTCACTGATTAATTTTACTCCAATAGACTTGTTGTCCTAATGTGATGCAAGTTTTTCCATAGTCTCTGGTTGCTCCCAGCACTAGGAAAGCCTATGACAGAGCTGACCCTCCTCAAGAGCTGAATTTGGTGAATTTAGTGTACAGGGTCTACTTTCTTAATGTCAGTTCTCTGGAGGTTTATCATTATAGGTGTGGGTCTGAG